ACTTTTATGATCGGTACGGATGGGCGCAAACAAGTAATGACGAAACTTAGTGACCACTTCTCTTCTTGCTACCATCTCACGAAGATAAACTTTAGATTGTAATTTATTAGAAAGCTTCTTAAAGAAAAAATAATAGGATGTCCTTGCTTACTCAATATAGCACCAATTCCTGTATTAGAGGCATTCATTTCTAATTCAAATGGGGTTGAGAAATTAGGAAGAATGAGAACATGAGCTTGTGTGGTAACAATTTTTAGATTGTCAAAAGCAGCTTGAGTTGTAGTAGATCAAAGAAAAGAATCACTTTTCAATAATTCATGAAAAGGAGAGGCTAACAAAGCATATTCTTTAATGAAACGACAATAATAATTGGTGAGACCAAGAAAACCAAGAAGCTTCTTAAGAGTAGTTGGAGTTGACCACTTGAGAATCAATTCAATATTCTTAGGATCCATATATACGCTAGAAGAGGAAACTATATGATCCAAATAAGCAATCTATTGTGTACCAAAAGCACATTTTGACAACTTAGCATGAAGTTTATGCTCCTACATAATAGATAATACCTTCTCTAGGTTTAAATGATCAGACCAAGAAGCAATGTAAATTAATATATCATCGCAAAACACCAAAACGAACTTGCATAAGAAATTCTTAAATATTTGATTCATAAGAGCTTGAAAAGATGATGAAGCATTTGGGTCTCGATTGAATGGATTTCAATAAAGATCTAATCTTAAGTCCTAAACTAGATTTACAACTCAAAGATATACGATCAAAGAAAATGGAAACGAACTACTAAGATAAAAAGCTGGGTTTATTTACATGGATGCCTTCAAAGTGGGCATACCTTTTAACTGGTAAAGGTCGACTTATTTTTTGTCACCTTGTAGATTTCTTACTGGCTACTGCAGTACAAGATCAGTGTTCTTATTACGGCTGCTTGTGACACATTCCGATGAGGGGCTGCTCAGCAGCGGACCCATGCTCCGAGAATTCATGTTTACATTGGTTTTTTTCCTAAATGATTAGTGTAGTTGTTTTACCTCCTTGTTCTTACATTCTTGCGGTTGAGGCAAAAGAACCAATTCAATAAGTTTCAAGCAAATTTATTACTAATATAAAGATTTTAAATATATTACTATTAATATTAGCATTTGAGGATATGCTCAAGAATTAGATTCAAAGAATAATCCCAATTGAATCACTAGTCCCTAACCTCTTTGCCTGCTATTCTGGCTTCCCAATCTATCGCATGTACTCAATCACTTTAATTTATACATCAAACTAATACATTCTACTCTATAAGATAAAATCATCTTCACCCTATAGAAGCTTATGATTTGAACTTTCAATAGTCAATACGAAAAAGGTGAAAACAGAATATTGAAACAACAAAGAACACGACTCACACTTTAATAGGCCTGAACTTCTTAGAGCTATGATTTCCCTTAGATACATCTAAGTTCTCCAGTCTTGGTAATCTCTTTGATATAAATACAACTTCCTCTCTTCTTCCCCCTTCCTCTAAAGCAGCTATTAGATCATTTAGGCATGTCAATTCCTGACATAAACCGTTCTCCACCAATTCATAGCATAAACCAAATGCTTCTGAGACCTTGTTAGTTTTACAAAGATTCAGAACAATTGCATTACACAAATCAATATCGACATTCTGATGAATTTCTAAACTAAAAAGCAACAGTTTGCATGCTTCTAATAGCTTTCCTCTCTCATAAAGAAATTGAGCTACTTCTTCAATTTTAACACGGTATCCATTCTTATAAAGCAAATCAATAATCTCAAATGCTCTTTTTTGCTGTCCACATCCAAAAAGTAGTTGTAAATTCTTAGTTGAGAGATTTATATTCTGTCTAACATTTTTCTCCAGCATCATCATAATAACCCAGGCAGACTCATGAGCACAACCTTTTTTCCAAAAGTTTTGCCAGTATAGAATGCCAAGTGAATGTTTTAGGTTGATAGGAGCTCTTAAGCATTTTCTCTAGTGTCTCCTTTGCAAGTAGAGGCTTATCCTTTAAAAGAAAACCATCAATCAAACGATCATAAATATCAACATCAGGAAGAAAGTCTCTTCTAAGCATCCACATCAAAAGCTCATATCCACTTTCATATGCACCTTCTTTACAATGCCCCATAATCAATGTATTGTACGACTGGGGATCTTGTGTGCCCCTTTTCATTAACTGTCTAATCACCCTCTCGGCCTTCTTATTCTTCCCATGTTCACACAAATGCTGAAATAAGGTACTATAAGCAGCAGCAAGTGGCCTGGAGCCAAAATTACTTAAAAGGATTTCCTTCTCAAACAACTCATCAAACAACACCTCTGCCATATCATAGTCCCCTTTCTGACACAAACTACGTACAGAGTGCTATACGAAGCTGAATCCATGGGGACCTAAAATTTTTTCATGCTTTCAAACACCTTCAATGCTTCATCCAGATTTCCTGCACAACAATGCGAATGAATAATCGTATTAAAGGTAAATGTATCAGGGCTAAAACCCCCATTGCCTTTCATCCGTTCCAAAAGATCTTTCATCTTGTCCAACTTGTGTGCCTCACAAAGCCCTTTTATCAAAGTATTATAGGTAACCATGTTCGGCTCAATGCCCCGGCTACTCATCTCTTCAAGAACAATCAATGCCTCATCTACTTTTAGCTTCATACAATATCCTCGAATCAATGTAGTATAAGTAACAACATCAAGATGCAAACCCTCACATTTCTTGCTCATACCATTCACTAAATTCCGAGCAATTCTGATCTTCCCCGCTCTACACAAACCATCAACAAGTGTGTTATACGTGACAACATCCGGATCACAATTAAACCCGGCCATCTCATTAAAAAACCGAAACCCTTCATCAACCATTGAGTTTTTGCAAAACCCTCTGATCAAAACATTGTATGTACAAGTGTCTGGAGTAACACCATACGTGCGAAGCATTTCATCATACACCTCTTTGGCCATATTGGTGCGACCCCTTCTGAGCAAAATAGACAAAACAATGTTGAAGGTAACCACGGAGGGGGACACAACAATGGACTTCATGGTCTGAAAAAGCTTCATGGACTCTTTAAAGAGCCCTGCTTCGGCGTAGCTTCTGATGAGGGTATTGAAGAACCTATCCTCAAGCTTAACGGTTCCGTTGGACTTTTTCTCGATGGAAAATAACAAGTTTCGGGCAATGTTGAGGTTCCTCTCGCGACCCAGAATTTGTAGCATGATGAAGTAGGACTGAGTTGTGTGGGGAAAACCCTTTTGCTGGGCCCACTTGAAGAAACGAAGGGCCTTGGAAGGGTCCTTGATCAGGCGAAGTGTTCTGAGCACAGTCGTTTTGGAAAGTGGGGTGGGCAGAGGAGAGACCAACACGTTCGACCATGGTTTGGAATTGATAAGATTGGCCAAGGTTTTGGCGGTTTTACTTGTGTTTCGTGATTTGAGTCTTGCAGTTTGGGTTTCTGGGTGATCAGAACAAAAGTACCTGAATCTTAAGAATCAGTAGTGAGGGAAAAAAAGGGGGGGGGGGGGGCATAAGAAAAGAAAAAAGGAGTTCCAAGAAATGCACCTAAGGTGGGAATTGAAGGTGGAGATGGAAATGGAACGGAGATTTGAAGATAGTTGTTGTTGCGACGAGAGACTACGAGAAACCATGTTGAAGCTGTGAATTCAGTAGTCCAGCCCCCATCTGTTTTTTATTCAAAATACATATATTTCTCTTAGAAAACTTCTATCATACATGTGATGAAAATTTAGAGGATAATTTATTTTCTTGTATATTTCTTTTAATCACTTCAACTATAAAAATGTTTTAATACATAGTTGGTATGGTTGTACCGAGGAACCAATATAAATTTCTATGATTATATATATATATATATATATATATATATATTTTTTTTTTTTTCTTTTTTTTTAATCTTGTGTTTTATATTTTGAATTTCTTTACATTTTCAGTAAGTGTGTTGTCCGCTGCGGTTGTTTAAAGAAAATTTTGTTTTTCTTATTTTTATAAAATAATTTAAATTATTAAAAGTTCAATCATCTCCTTCATAAATTTAATCATTATTTTCAATCATTGGGATCATATTATGCGGTACTCAAATTTAAAATAATTGAGTGAAAATAATCTTTTGTTTGTTGAGAATATTTTTACGGATAGATTGTCTATTTTTAACAAGATGAATTATAAGTTTTGGAAAATTAAGATAAAAAATTTCATTGAATTAATAGACATATTTGGGATGATATTATCCATAATTTATGAGAACATACAAGCTTAATTAATCGGTTTCTAAAGTGAAGAATATCATAAAGTTTATTTTGGAATTTGAGTTCTGTATCATGCAAATGTGAGATACTATAGAACATGAAGACACGATAAAGTGAAAAAAGTGAGAAAGCATCCGATGGTCTAGGAGTATGAGTTGTTTGTGCAACTTGGAGAATCCAATAATATGCAAAAAGGTTTTTTCATACGAAAACGATACTTTGACAACCGGAAAACAAACATTCGTTCGACAACTGGGGCAAAAAAGAATTTAATTAAAAATAAGGGTTTGATTAGTAAAATTGAAGGGGTCAGAGATGTAATATTGTAAAAATGGGGGATGTTATGGTAAAGAGTGAAATATATGTTTGAAGAAGGTACAGTATTTTTCGCTTGACACATTCTCGTTCGACCTCGCTGGACTTCCTCTCGCTCGACTTAGGGTAAATTTTCGCTTGTCTTATCCGTCTCGCTCTTCACGGCGCTCGACTTCCTGTCGCTTGTCTTCCTCCGTGTCGTTGGAGCTAAACATCACTGTCAGTCGCTTGAGTGACCATGCGGTGAGTGTTCGTTTAACAACATTTGCTTGATTTTGTCTGTATTTTTTATTGGGTTTCCATTGTTGTTTGCTTGTTCTGCAACTTATCTTTGATTGGGTTTGTAATGAAGGTGGTTTTCACGGTTTAGGGTTAATTGAGTTGTGATGCTATATTAATGTCGAACAAGTGTTTGATGAAATGCTATAATGAAGAATTGTATTTGCGCATTCTTGCTTTGTTTTCTGTTTATGTTTGATTGGGTTTGTAATGAAAGTATTTTGTAGGGTTTAGGGTTAATTGAGTTGTGATGCTATATTAATGTCCAACAAGTGTTTGATGAAATGCTACAATGAAGAATTGTATTTGCATGACAAACATTTTGTATAATATGCACAAGATTTACACCCACGTTTGCATAATTCACAATTTGACCAAAATTATGTGTAACATGGTTGGACTTAATTTTTTTTTTTACTATTTTGTCATTGTAAGTTACAATTTTAATAATTTGTAACATGATTAGTTTGGGAAAAAATGTCTGCAAAAAGAGACCGTCGTGGCGAGAAAAAGGTATGTTCATGTTAATTATAGTTTTTTTATGAAAAGTGATTTACTAAATATTCAATTTGTTATATGTTATGTATGATATATATGTTATACATGTTATATGTGCAGATAAGATTAAGACACAAGATTGAGACATAGTATATTGCTGATATAAATTCAAAGTTGACCAAACACCAACGAGCAGCTATTGAACAAACTCCGTTTAAATGGCTTCTTCAAATAAAAGAGTCATTGCAAATATCAAGCAATATTATAGGAGAACATACCTTTTAATTAGTATAAAATGCAATGTAATCCATTATTGTATTTCAGTGTTGTAGTGGAAGTGCATGGGCAAATATTGACTATGCGAGAACTTGCAGACATTAAAGCCAAGGGGTCATATTGACAATATGGTAAGTTTGTTTATTTAATGAAAAAGTGTGATTCAATATATTTTTAAAAATTATATTTATTAATATCATATGGGTTGTTAGGTGATGTTGTTTGCAAGTAGTGTAATGATGTATGACCAAATGAATGTCACCTGGTGGCAGCATTCGACGTTTCTGTTTCAATCCTTTGTTTGCGGTATGTTTATTGTGCATTTAAAAAGTTAAGTTGCACATAGGTATATTATCATTGATTGTCATTTATTTTTGTGCCTTTTGATAGACACAAGTGATTGAACAAATGTATATTCGCAAAGGGAAAACATCTACGTGGACAATGAAAGACTTCTCACTGTTCTATCCAAATACAATTATTCCATTGCAGCAGTTATTGAGTTGTGAACTTGTGAGTATTTATACTTTGCCTAAAATTTATATTTTTGTCAAGATAAAATTCAATTAACCAAAGTTTTTTCTATTTCAGATTTTTGCTCCCACTGTACACAATGGTCATTGGTGGTGTTATGTGCTGAAATGTAAGGATGGAGAACTGTTTATATTAGATTCATTGGACCATGATAATAGATCACGAAAACCAATTGATAGAGCTATGGTAAATATTTGTTTTAAGTTGTTTACGTAGGTAATATAGTTAATTCAGAGCTATGTTTATTTGGCGAATAATGTAATATTGTGAACAATTGCAATGTTTTGAACATCTATTGTCGCTGTTGGAAACAAAGTCATCGAGGACCACTGGAGAACTTAAGGTTTCAAAGGAGGACTTGCCAATTCAACCAAACATGTTAGTATGTTATTATAGTTGAAATTTTGTTTGCAAAATGTTGTATGTAATGTGTGTAATAACTACATTCAATTGTGCAGGTATGATTGTGGATTGTTTGTTTTAAAATATATGGAATTGTGGGATGGTGTGAGCAAAGTGAATGGGAAAAGCATGCCTCATTACACATCGGTAAACATTAAATTCATTGTATTATTGTTTTATTTTTTACTACTATGAATATAATTTATTATGACATTCTTCATATTGTACAGGAGCAAGTTCAGAAATTTCGAGAAGAATATGTATGCAGATGGGTACTTCATCCTCAAAATCTTCATCGACAAGTCATGGTTATTGAATCAGGAGTTAACGTCCTCATCTAGGAATAGAAATGTAGATATTGTATATTTGATTATTTGTTCATCTTCATTGGTGAATGTTCTACAGTTTATTCATATGTAATATAACTTTTAAGTTGGTTATGGATCATTTAAATGTTAAATATTATGACATTAACAAGTGACTGATTTTTGGACCATGGTTAAATATTATCCTCATACCACATACTTGGATGATATATGGAGCGTGGCCACCACCCACTCTCACTGCTCAAGTAAACATCATAGTAACATCAACAATCGGCCAAGTATAACTTAGTTCCACAAAACAAAATGGTCATTAATTTCCATTTGAATTTTTGATGGCAAGATGTTGATATGTAATATAAAAGAAGAAATTCAGATTAAAAGAACAAGGGAAGAGAACAATATAAACTAGCATATGGAAATTGTACAAGTGATAAGATTTATTGTAGGAAAGATGTATAGGTTTGCGTATCAGCTTTGTGCATAACAGATAACTTCATGCTTAATAGTTGTAAAGCATGCGCTTAACAAAAAACAGATTGAAATTTGGATGTCACGTCTCATTCAAGTTCAGCCTTGGCCACAGACGAAATGTCCAATGCAGTTAGCCACATACTGTAACATGGATAACCACATATTTTAATCACTTGCCGCTCGACCGAGAATAACGTCGCTTGAGCGAGAAACAACCCGAGAGTCCCTATTTTTTGTAAGGGTACCTCGCTCAAGTGATGGATTTCTCGCTTGAGCGAGTGTTGGCCGTAGACGAAACGTCCAACGCAGGTAACCACATAATATGACATGGGTCACCACATATTCGAATCACTTGCCGCTCGAGCAATCATAACGTCGCTTGAGCGACACATAACCCGAGAATCCCCATTGTTTGAAGGTTTTGTCGCTTAAGCGATCATTTCATCGTGTGAACGACTGTTGACCCACTGACGAAACGTTAAACGCAGTTAGCCAAATAATATAACTTGGATCACCACATATTAGAAACAGTTGTCGCTCAAGCGTTCATAATGTCGCTTGAGCGAGACAGAACCCGAGGGTCCCTTTTGGTTAAGGTTCCATCGCTCGAGCGATGTCATCCTCGCTTGAGCGACTGGTGAACCACAGACGAAACGTCCTACGCAGTTAGCCATCTAATATAACATGGTTCACCACATATAAGATTCAAATGTCGCTCAAATGATTAAATAGTCACTTGAGCACGACTGAACCTGAGTGTCCCCATTGTTTTGAGCGACCTTAGATAACGGTTAATAAGAACCGCTTTTAAAAATATATATTAGATAGCGGTTAGCCTTAAACCGCTGTCTAAAGTATGTTTATAATAGCGGTTTTTTAATAACTGCTCCCTTATATCATACTTTTAAAGAGCGGTTGACCCTTGGAACGCTATAATAAATGTAGTTTAGATAGCGGTTGGCCACATAACCACTATCTAAAGTCATATATGTCAAAGTGATCGACTATAATTGGACAATAATCGATCATAATTTTCGATAACCGATTATAATTGAGAATGATCGATTATAGTTGGAGAACATCGATCATAGTTTGTGCTAAGCAATTATAGTTTTACATAATTTCGCTCTGCATCTCTCTCGCCGGCGCACACAAAAGAAACGTTCGTTCTCTCCCGGCTCTGGTTCGTCTATGTTTAATATAGGGTTCTGTTCTAATTACTTGCAAATTCTCTGCTCTCTGTTTTCGTTCACTGTTGACTATCTCAATCGTCGTAAACAT